TTGCCTTCTATCCCTGTGCCACCTCCTTCTCCTCCTCCTCGCAGGGGTGGTAATCCACGTGGAGCCTGGCATCCTAGATATCTCCACCAGGATATCGTAGGAGTGGAGAGAGTCAGCTGTAACTGCTTTTTCATTCCGCATTTATAAGAACATAAGAACATAAGAGATGCCAATGTTGGATCAGGCCAAAGGCCCATCCAGTCCAACACTCTGTATCACACAGTGGCCAAAAATACCAGTGCCATCAGGAGGTCCACCAGTGGGTGCATCTATGCGCGCCGCCATATGAAGACTATGGGAAAAGTATAAAGTCTAGCATGAAAGTTTTGAGATCACTGACTTAAATCTCAAGCTTAACTACATTTCAGCAATTTATTTATAGGTTACGACCATTTCCTTTTTCACTATTTCTAGTAATTTATCTGAAAGACTAATAGGCAGATGTATAGAAATACTGATTTCTAAAAGCCCCTGCCTTCCCCTGGGATGTCTTGCTGATAACCTGCTGTGCCTTGTTTCCTGTTGAAGCCATATGGCCTCACATTTGGCCGGAGAAACTTTATAGCCCTGCCATATAACCACACATTCTTCACACTTCCGTGCTGGAAGCTAGGCCAGTGTGCAAAAAGTCATGTAGCCAATGGGGAGACTGGAGTTTGGGGTCACCTGACTCCAGAGGGAGTCTCCAAACGTCCAGCCTATCCCCACTTGCACCCATGACAACCAAGAATTGGCCACCCCCCTGCCCACTCGAAATTGGCTCCTGGCCAGGGCTAATTTGTGACTGGAATGGGCCTATAATTAGTCATTCCCAATGGGAGAGAGCTCTGTTCTCTCGGTTCTCTCTGCTGCTCTTGTGTTCTTGTTCCTGTTCGTGAGCTCTCTGCTCCCTGCTTGTTTTTTATTGCACCTGGATATGTGGTCTCTGGGAGAACAAAGATCTGCTTGGTAACTGGAGCACATTGTGTGCAAAAATGGGCTTTCCCTTCAAGATCCCCTGGAACCCTGTAGATGTTCCTGATATGGTAAATATGAAGCATTAATGTTCAGTTAAGGCAAACTGCCTTAGGCTTATTTTGAAATCTTTATGGTCTAATTGCAATGCTCTGTGCTGAATAAAAACTTATTCTTGTTTCTAACTTGTCTTTGATGTTGTAGCTGGGATTCCAAGTCTATTTCCTGTGCCTAAATGCTGACCACACAGCGCTACCACTGTGATAGTAATTGTAAAATCCCAGAGGCTAGCTAAGAGTCTGAACCTTGCTTTTAGGCTGGGAGAGGACTCTAGTTAAAAGTGGTTCTGATGGCTTATTGTTCTGAAATGCAGAGAGGGTAGCCTACCTCTCTGGGTCGTTGTTTAATGTATTGTAAAAGTATCCCATATCTTCCTACTCCCAATATCATCTGTTCGTGTCCTGTGGTTCATGCTACTTTTATAAATATACACTGCTTACCTATACATCCATGAATTCTAGAGACCAAACCAGTGGGCTACAATATAACATAGATCCAAAGATTCCCCCGTGCTGATGTAAATTGAGGGGTTAGGAACTTATCTTATGTCGCCATGTAGATGTTCAGTTTAATGGACTGGGATTTTAGATTGTGTATTATATGTGTTTTTATGAATTTTGTTGTGTACCACCCTGAAACCACTTGTGGGGAGGGCGGTATAGAAGCCTAATGAAATAAATAAATATTAAAACACATACAGCTTTGTTCAGATCTGTGCTGGAGAGGACTTGTAATTTCCTTACCCCACAGGCACTTGGCCTGTGAAATAAGACACACAGGTTATGTGTGGAGGAAGCGATGGATGGAGGCGAAGGTGTCCTCTTTGGCATGTACCACTTTTGTCAGCTTTGGCTGATACGCCTCCTTCTGTGAAAAGGCTGATCTGGTCACAGTGATCCATGCTCTGATCACATCCAGGTTAGATTACTATAACACACTCTATGTGGGGGTGCCTTTATAAATAGTTCAGAAATTTCAGTTGGTAGCCAGAACACTGTACTAGCCATGTGAAAGTTTACATGGACTGCCCCATCTCTATTTCCAGATACAATTCAAAGTGCTGGTGTTCATCCATAAGATCCTAAATGCCTCCTCCCACATAATCCAGCCCTCCTATTGAAATCCTCTTTTTCAAGCCCTGCTGCCTTCTCCCCTGCCTGCAGAACGTAGGAAATGTAGACAGGGCCTTTTTGGTGGAGACACCTTGCCTTTGGAATGCTCTTCTTCCAGATGCTTGGTTGGCACCAACTTCCCTTCCCTTTATGAGAGAGGCCAAAACATTTCATTTCATCCCTGCTTTTAACTAAAGTATTTTATTTTTTATGGCTTACTTTATGGCCTGGGGACTTTTATTAATATTTTACTCTGTTCTATGTGCTCTGTTATGTGCTTGCTTTTACTCGTTGTTTTTACTGATTCTATCCAATTTTTTATTGGCATGATTTGTGTTTCCTGCCCTTTGCTTTGTTTTATTGCTTTAGTTGTGAGATTTCTTCAGGTTTGGAGAATCAGCATACATATTTTCTAAATAAACAGACAAACCCCAAATTGTAGAAGCATCCAAATTCGGATGTCAGAGTACATTGAAGCTAGACTAGCTTTTGGTTCAATAAGTTTTCAAACTCATCTTCACATGCAAGGAGAAGAGAGAGGGGACGTATGAGCATGAGAATAAACTAGGCTTGAATTTACAGCAAACTAATCCCAACAAGTGTCATGTCTGTGAGGACTGAAACGCAGATTTCCTAATATGCCACTACACTATTATTGAAACGTAAACAGATAGTTTCCCCAGTTTAGAGGCCTGACAAATAAAGCATTGGTATCACAAACACCTGAGAAAATCAATGGAAAGTATGGTGTGAGTACTTAGTGTGGCCGAAGACCACACCAAAAGGTAAAGCTTACGAAATTACTTCTGAACACTTACCCTAGCAAGTCAAGATTACCTTTGAACACAAGATAATCAGAGGGCGGGCTGCAACGCATATCAAAGGAATCAAGCAAATATTAAGCCAATGGGTGAAAGATTTATTGACAGGCTAGTTTTCAAGTTTTGCAGGCATGGTTTGAATACCTTGGTCTTCCTCAAGAATAAGAGCTTAACATTAATTCAGTTAAGTAGTCTAAGAAAAACAAGTGTCATGGCTGTGAAGACTGAAACGCAGATTTCCTAATATGCCACTACACTATTATTGAAACGTAAACAGATAAGTTTCCCCAGTTTAGAGGCCTGACAAATAAAGCATCGGTATCACAAACACCTGAGAAAATCAATGGAAAGTATGGTGTGAGTACTTAGTGTGGCCGAAGACCACACCAAAAGGTAAAGCTTACGAAATTACTTCTGAACACTTACCCTAGCAAGTCAAGATTACCTTTGAACACAAGATAATCAGAGGGCGGGCTGCAACGCATATCAAAGGAATCAAGCAAATATTAAGCCAATGGGTGAAAGATTTATTGACAGGCTAGTTTTCAAGTTTTGCAGGCATGGTTTGAATACCTTGGTCTTCCTCAAGAATAAGAGCTTAACATTAATTCAGTTAAGTAGTCTAAGAAAACACTCTCCTTATTTAAGATTTATCTAAGGCTTTCACTGTTCAAAGCTGGGCTCTACTGGGGGATAAATGGCTTTAAAAGAGGATTAGACAAATTCCTGGGGGATAGGTTTAGCAGTGGCTACTAGCTATAGTGACTAGCCAAAGGAACCTTCACACTCAGAGGGAATAAACCTCTGAATACCAGTGCCTGAAGGAAACATCACGAGAAGGCCCCGGCCTCTGTACCCTGCTGTACTCACTGTGTGAAACAGGATGCTGGACTAGATGGACCACTGGTTCAGTCCAGCAGGGCTCTTCATATGTTATGTCCTGCTCCTAAAGTATGGATGTGGATTACAAGCAACAAAAGCAGGTATCTCCTCTGCAAACTACCTACTGGATTGTTTGAAGTGGGGCAACTCTGAAATAAGTTGACTTTAATTTACCTCTACCTCATTTGGGACAGGGCATGGATTGCTGGGAGATAGTGAGAGGTTCAGTTCCTGGTTTGTTAAAAGGAGACCAGGTAGTAGCTAATGGGAGAAACCTTTCTGTGCCAGAGATTCTGGCAAATTAACACCAGCTGAAGGCCAATGGTCTGACACAGTACAAATCAGTTTCCTGTGTGCATCCTCTACCCCTATTATTTACATACTCATTCTCTTCTCCACCATTTCATCCACACAACAACCCTGTAAGGTAGGTTAGGCCAAGAATGACTGGTCTCGGATTACCCAGCAAGTTTCCATAGCAGACTGGGGGTGTGAGCCCAGATTTCCCAGATCTTAGTCCAACACTCTAGCCACTACACAGGAATATGAACTATGCCAGTCTGCCCACAGGCACCAAGGAGCTGGAGCTTTCTCCGGCGCTAGCTCAACGGAAGTTTCCCCAGTCACTACAGCACTGGGAAGGAAAGAGGGTGGGACCACACACTTGGGAGAATCGTCAGCGATATGCAATTCTTCCAATGCGATCCTATGCAGAGTTTCTTCATTTCGAGGTCATTGATATCAATGGTCAAGTGGATATCAATCTGCAAAGGGCCGGGCGGTTAGAAAGGAGCCCCTCGCTGCCAGCCCACCACTTCGTAGTGTGCCATCCCTGAGCAAAAGACTAAGGAAAGAAGCCACAAGGAGGAAATTAGGAGGCGAGAGAAGACTCTGCCTCGTGGTTTTCGAAGAGCTCCCAGCCAGCAAAGGGGAGGCACTCCCCGCCCGAAGAAGCCTCCATAGGCCTACCCAACGCTTGAGAGAGAGAGAGAAAAGAACATATGCAGCCCTACGTTCACCTTCTGAAGCGGCGACGCTAACAGGCCCTAAAAGAGAACAAGGGGAGGGAAGACCCCGAAAAGGGTCGGGGTGTTGGGAAGAAAAAGAGAAGAAACGGAAGCCTTCCCAGGAAGGACGAGGCACACCCCATCGTGAGACCGCACGCTCGTACCTGTCGCTGCGAAGCCGTCGGAGCAAAGGGTGGATACAACTCCGCACGGACCTGCCCGCTGCCATCACGTCAGGACTATCACCGCCGGACTGAGCGTGCTGGACCCCCGGGGGCCGACTGGCGGATAAGAACGAGTTACTACGTCTCCCGTCAGCCACCGCGCTCTCCAGTTCTAGTCAGCTGTCGCGTCACAACCGGGTTTCCCCCTTTAAGCCGTCCTCTTTCTCCCAACGATTCAGTGCTTTTTGTAATTGCCACTCTCCTGGTGGGGTGGGAGTGGAACAGAAGTTAGCGAGTTTGACACCTTTAAGGTTTGTTGTTTTTTCCTTGGCGGGGCGCCTCTTTCGACAAGTGCAACATGGAACTTACTCCTGCTAATTTCCCTACCTTGTAACTCAGCGACCGAAGGTTTAGGCGCCTCCCCAGATAAAGGGAAAGGATTCCCTCAATTCGGCCAAAGCGGCGTCCCCCCCCCTTCCAAAGTACAAGTAGCACGATGGGCTGCAGAAGGGAAGGAATGATTAACAAGGGGACAGGGCAGTCTCACCTATTTTAATATAAGTGCTGAGTTTTAGAATAGCGTCTTTGAAACTTAAAACCTGGTACTAAGAATGTAGTCATATCCCTTCATCTGTGTGGGAAAATGCATACAGAAGTGTGATTTGTAAACATTTCATCTCGAGGTCGCTACTTGCTTTCTGGGGCTGCGATCACACACTAAATAATCCACTATCAATGTACTTTTGAATTGGATTTTGCCAATTCACACAGTAAAAATCCAGTTGGAAAGTGCATTGAAAGTGGATTATTTAGTGTGTGTGATCACAGCCCAAAAGGCACATCCTTCTTAAGCATGTTTGGCCAAATAAACAGCTCTTACACTGTAATAAGCTAGATTCAGGTAGGTCTGAAGCAAGAGAACAAAGATTGAGTAGTGGCTCCTTTAAGGCCAAGGCCAACAAAGTTTAATTCAAGGTATAAGCTTTCATGTGCATACACACTTCTTCATTACAGCTGCCATCACAAGACTTGACTTTCTTTGGATGCTACCCTAATTACATCTGCTCAAGCTACTATGGACAAAAGAGAGAACATCCACAGGTTTTTAAGTGGGAGAATTTGGATTGTATATTCACAAAACCGGTCTTAATTGAAATTATATGAGCTTCCTGAAAAGCTGAAAGTGATTTAAGTTCAGTGATTCAGTTGCAACCAATGGAGGGGAGGAAGATGCTATTGTCTCCAGGACTTGTTACTTGTGGAGATAAATTTTGAGGGTGGTGGCTGTGTGGCTGGAGGTGACTAGAATTGCCTGCTCCTGTGCCAATTGTCCAGGTGCAAGTTGAGCTCCAGAGACAATGGCATTGCCACTGGGCTAGTCTTACAGGTGTTGATATGGTAGATCCTGGAGGCATGTCATCCCTCAAACCTGCTCCAATGCTGCCCTGCATGGTGCAGCAGTGTTTTCACTGCACCTTTCTTAGTGAATAACAACACCCAGAGCAGTTGTCATCAGTGTGGAACCTATCCTATGGAGTTCCACAGGGGGCAATTCTGTTCCCCTGCTTTTCAATCTCTATGTAAAGTTCTTAGGACAAATCATTCAGTTTTGGTGCTGATGTCATCAATATGTGTATGATACCCTATGTCCTTATCCAAGCCACCATGATAACAGTAGAGGTCTTGAATAACTGCCTAGCTGCTATGATAAATTGGCTGAGTGAGCAAATTGAAACTAAACCCTGAAAAGACAGAGGAAATGCTGGTTGGGAAGCTGGAAATCTTGAAGGACATTGTGCTCCCCACCGTTGATGGGGTTCAGCTGACCCTCGCTGACTCAGTTAAGAGCCTTAGAGTTAGGTTAGCCCTAAAGCTCTTAACTGAGTCAGCAAGGGTCAGCTGAGCTCCATCAAAACTAAACTAACATCTTATTTACATAACAGATTGAATTTAGAATTTCATGAAAAATTGAATGTACGTTTTGACTATATAGCTGCAAATTAGGACTGAATTCTTCAAGTGGAGAATGATTAAGAGATAGAGTCAGGCAATATATGTTTATAATAATGAAACATATAATGAAATGTTAGATATGAAGCAATGAAGAAAAGATAGAATAAAGATAAAACAAGTAAAAATTTATAGTATGTATAAACGAATCTTATGTAACCAAGTAAGTTCTGACTGACAACTGTAATAAATAGATTAGTATGTGGCTGATGTAGGAATCAGAGATAATAATTTTTTGTTGTTGTTCAGTCGTACAGTCAAGTCTGACTCTTCGCAACCCCATGGACCAGATCCCGCCAGGCCTTCCGGTCTTCTGCCGTCCTCTGAAGTTTGCTCAACTTCATGTTTGTTGCATCTATGACACTATCTAACCATCTCATCCTTTGCCGTCCCCGTCTTCTTTGACCTTCAGTCTTTCCCAGCATCAGGGTCTTCTCCAGTGAGTGCTCCCTTCTCATTTGGTGGTCAAAGTATTTGAGCTTCAGTTTCATTATCTGGCCTTCCAGGGTTGATTTCTTTTAGGACTGACTGATTTGATCTCCTTGCAGTCCAAGGGACTCTCAAGAGTCTTCTCTAGCACCATAGTTCAAAAGAATCTATTCTTAGGCGCTCGGCCTTCCTTATAGTCCAACTCTTGCAGCCATACATGACTACTGGGAATACCATTGCTTTGACCATGCGGACTTTTGTTGGCAGGGTGATGTCTCTACTTTTTATCATGCTGTTTAGGTTCACCATCGCTTTCCTCCCAAGGAGCAGGCGTCATTTAATTTTAACTCAGAAGATAATAAAGTAGACTACCATAAATGACTACCTAAGCACATGTCTATGTTCATATAAGACAATCGTCTATGTATAATTGCAGTACTGTATTGTTTATTCTCTCTCTTTTTTGTTTGTAAAAATAAAATTCTAAGTAAAAGAGCCTTAGGGTTATACTGGACTCAACATTATTACTGGAAAAGCAAGTTAATGCAGTCGCAAAAAAGGCTTTCTTCCAATTCAGCCTAGCTTGAAAAATGGCTTCTTACCTTGATATGGCTGACCTGGCCACCTGGATCCACACCATAGTAAAATCTGCTAGACTACTGCAATGCACTGTACATTACTCTCCCCTCAAAATCAAGTCAGCAATTCCAGCTGGTGCAGAATGCTGCAGCTCAGCTAATGTTGGAGCACCCATATTACTCCCATCCTGCAGACACTTCACTTGCTGCCCATCAGTTACCGAGCTCAATTTAAGGCATTAGCTCTGACATACAAAGCCTTTTGTGGCCTTGGACCCTCATTGCTGTAAGACTGCCCATGTTCCCCCTACGTTCCGCCATGACAGCTTCGCTCATTGGAGCAGGGGCCAACCTACAAATAGGCAAAATCAACAACTGCCTGTACATGTGCCGGGACTGTGGTCCATACTACTGTGTATAGCTTGCTGAAACTAGCGTCCTGCCATGGAGTCATGCATCATTTAATGTTTCATGTCAATACTTGTGCTTGCTTCGGTTTTGTTTTAGACTTTTGATTGGTTCTACAACCCCAGCCCTTTTGCATTGTTTTGACTCACTCTGTGTAATTTGCCGTGAGTCCAAGTGAGAAAGGTGGACTATGAATAACATAAATAAAAATAGCAGAAGACCCCAAAAGCAGCCCTGAGTCAGGAACCATGTTTTGGGGTCACCTTCATGACTTCTCAGGCCATATGCTGGCCTGAGACTGTAGGAGGGAATCTATGTTTCATATTAAAACTGCAAAAATACCCAGTTTCCCCTGGGGGCATGGCAACTCCCTTGACAGTAGTTATAGTCTTTGACTTCATGTGTGTGTTGTGTGTTAAGTGCCGTAATGCCACTTCCACAATGTATGGTGACCCTATGAATCAATTTTCTTCCTGTCAGCTTTCTCCATTGTCCAACTTTCTCACCCACAGGTAGTAATGGGGAGTACTATGGCATGAATTAACTTGATCTTGGTCACCAGCACCACATCCTTAAGGATCTTTTCTAGTTCCCTCATGGCTGCCCTCCCCAGTTTCAATCTCTTTCTCATTTCTTGGACTCCCTTTTGGTTGATGATGGAGCCAAGGAATAGAAAATCTTGAACAATTTCAATTTCATCATTGTCAACCTTAACATTGTGTAATTCCCCAGTAGTCATCACTTGTGTCTTCCTGATGTTCAGCTGTAATCCTTCTTTGGCACTTTATGCTTTAACTTTCATCAGTAGTTATTTTGTGTCTTCACTTGTTTTCTGCCAATAACGTGGTGTCATCTGCATATCTCAAATTGTTAGTATTCCTTCCACCAATTTTCACTCCACATTCATCTAAATCTAATCCAGGTTTCCTTATGATATGTTCTGCATATAGACTAGTCACTAGGGAGATAAAATGCATCCTTGTCCAACCCCTTTGCCAATTAGAAGCCATTCTGTTTCTCCATATTCTGTCCTAACAGTGACCTCTTGTCCAGAATATAGATTGCACATCAAAACAATAAGATGCTGTGGCACACCCATTTCCTTTAAAGCCAACCATAGCCTTTCATGATCCACACAGTTAAAAGCTTTGCTGTAATCGACGAAACACAAGCTGATTTTCTTCCAAAATTATCTTGTATGTTCCAGTATCCAATGTACATTTGCAATATAATCTCTAGTGCCTTTCCCTTTTCTGAATCCTGCTTAAACTTATGGCATTTCTTGTGCCATATATGTAAGATTTTGAGCATCACTTTACTTGCATGAGAAATTAATATGATGGTCCGATAGTTGCTGCAGTCTTTGATGTCTCCTTTTTTGGGAATTGGGATATAAATTGAGTATTTCCAGTCTGTGGGCCGTTGTTGTTTTCCGTATTTGTTGGCACAATCTTGTAAAGATTTTGATGGACTCAGTTTCTGTGGCTTAGAATAGCTCTACTGATATCCAATGCTCCCTCTAAGCTGTGGAGTCTTGTGAGCAAAAATTCTTCTTTGTGAGTTACTGGCATTAAAGTTGTGAGGCAGCAATTTGGCTACTGCCTCAATTAGTTTGCTCTGGAGCCATCCTTCCTGAGCTAAGACAAAACTGTGTGAGCTGGAGGCTAAAAAACTGTGAGC